CGGGGCGGGTGGCGGCGAGTCGGCCCCGGTGTGGGAAGCGAGTAGCGTAAAATGGGGCCTCTGCCGGGCGTCGGGGCGCGCGTCATATGATTCCCGGCGGTGGCACCGCAGTACGGAGGCGCTCTGGAGAGCGGCCTTGCTGTCCTTGCTGTTCGTGGCAACTGTACTGCAAGGACAGGCTCCAGCTAAGCCACGGCGTGCGGAAATCCCGCAGAAGCGCCTATCCACGGCGCGCAGAGATTGCGCAGACATTCCTATCTGTCATACTCATTGCTGGAATGAAGTCTCAAGTGGTTTTCCCCCCCCCCCCAATGGTTTTTTATTATTTATTGTTAGCAATTTATTAGAATGCACTAATATCGATGCAGGGGGCAAGCTTTGAATGCTATACGTATTCTAAAATACATATATTTATACATATATATATTTATTAATACATATATTAATTTATATTAATACATATATTTATAAAAATAATGATGTTCCTTCTTGGTCCTTTGTATCCCACGTTTCTCCTCTGCAAACCGAAGCCATGGTTATGAAAAACTGCATATTTAATGTCCAAGTCTCAGAGTGATTTTGGCAGTGAAGTCTCATTTTAAGCCTTAATTCTCAACATTATTTTGAACTTTCTGGCTTTTAATGTTTCTGAGAGCAAGGGGCAAAAAAAAGGAGGGTATCTTTTCAAGATTGTAACTACTAGTGTTACCATGGAGGGAAAGGCAGAAAATTGTTTTAGAAATTCAGATTCATATCTGCTTCACCAAGCTGGCAGCTCAGGCTTGCTGGGTAGAAAGGGGAAGCTGCCTTAATTATACCTTTGCGCCCCCCCCCCCCTCCGCTTTCCTCATTAACTGGTGTGGTAACTTTGTGAGGGTTGAGCACCGTTGACAGATTAATTGATTTTATCTCAAGTCAACGGAGTGGAATATGGGGCTATGGGAATCGGTTTTCTGGAATCCAAAGGCTTTGACCACTCACACATAGTTTGCTGAAATGCAAGTACAAGAAAACAACATATTTTCTGAAACGGGATATGTCCATTTCCTTTATTGAAATAAAACATCAGAGGTGCCTCCTGGGTAAAATGAAGTTCAAAGGTGAGATGTGAGAAGAGAGAAGGTACCATCACCCACAGGGGCAGAATTCAGGCAGAGATTCAACAGGAGTTGAGGATATGTAGCAAAGTGTTTAACCATGTGATCACCTGTGAGGATGGGTTTGAACACTGTTACTTCAGTCAGTGGATAGGGTGCAGCAGTTGCCCCTGTGGTGTCCCCACCCTGCCCTCGTGTCCTTTCCTCTCCCTCTCTTCAGTTTAGCCTTATCCCATGGCTGCCCTTCCGTCCCAGTGATGGGTTCCCTCCTCCTCCTCTGGTGCTGCCACCCAATTTCCACAGATACCCCTCTGGCTACCTTCCCCTGCAGCGCCTTGGGGCTGAGGCTTCCTGGGACCTTGCTGGGCTTGTGTGACTGAGTGTTACACGGCCTGCAAGACTGGTTTGTGAAACTAATCCCTTCTCCAAGAACATTAGTGGAAGGGAAGGAACCTACAACTGCTTTAATCCTCTTATCTGGGAAGCCCCTAGAACGTTGTTCTTGGTTGTTTGTGGGGCATTTCTAGTCTAATTACAGTCACTTATCAGAGATGTGGCACAAGCAGGAGGTCCGATGTTTAAATAATTTTAGTATTAGTTTTGCACAGGTGCAACACTGAAGTCTAAATTGCGTTACCAGGACCTTCTATCTGTCAACTCTTGGTACTTTTCTAATGCTCCCCAACTTTTCACATGCATGAAGACAGAAAGGCTGTAGACAGAACTTGCCAGTGTTTAAGCCGAACTGCGACATGACACTGCAACCCAATCACTTAACACTTCATTTTGTCATAAAGACAGGAGAGAGGTGCTGAGCTGTGCTCTTGCTATGAACCAGGAAACTGAAGGAAAGGCAACAGGCTGGAACAAAGAGACCCAGGCACAGCAGCAATGTTTGTGAGCCTTGCAAAAGGGCTGCCAGGAACATCCTCATGCACCTGCTTCCCTGCTCGTTTTACACAACAACATGAGCTATTGCTAATTTTCTGTTGAAAGAACCTTCTTTGGTTGTGGTCCTTAAAGATGTTGATACTTTGCTCGGATGCCAGGGTAAGTACCTGAAACTGGCTTCTCCCAAATGCCATCGCAAGTGCCAGCATGCATATTGAAGCTGGTAGGTGTTGTGTAAACTTCATGTGGTTTCTGTTTGAATGAGTTTGAGCCAAACCAGCGATGTTTCTGTGTGATACTTATTTGCAAAGTATCATCCCACTGATCTTCGCGTTGCCTGTGGACTCCTGCATGCCCCCGGAGGTGTAGTGTTGAAATACACTCTCCATTTTGCACAATCCCAACTGTAGCACTACATAAATAGTAATGGTTCGCCCTTCCTTTGCTTGCGAGTGACAGTCAGATACTTACTTTACGCAGCTAGAACACCTAAGGCAATGATCCAGACATGGGACACCACCATACACCGGTCTCATTACTTCTCATGCAGAGGGGTTTTAACAGGCCTGCATTAACCTTTCACTCTGTGTGTTCGGAGGAACTACTCCAACATGAAATGCCTCAGTTTTCCCTTCTTATCTGCATGTGACTGCTACTGATAAGGGTGGGAATGACATGAACTTTCCTAAATGCATCTCTAGAACTGCATTGTGCATCCTGCTAAATTATGTTTCTCAGGAAACATGATCTACTTTTATGAATGGGAGTAGCTTGGTTGTATCAGATAGCTTCCCCCCAAAAAAACCCACAATGAAAAACCCTAGAAATCCAGGGAAAAAATCCCAGAAACCCCCCCTAAAAAAATACAGCAGTCTCAGAAATCTTTTGCTCTGTTGCATCACCAGTGTCTATAGAGCAGCTCTGGTTCTCACCCATAATGCTTGGAGGAAAATTTTCCTCTGTCTCTAAAGATGATACTCTGTACCCCAAAATGAGAAGATCAACTCCTTCAAGCTCAGTAAGCCCAAAACATCCAAGTTTGTGCATGCTTCATTTGTAGCATTTAGTGTATTTGAAAAGCCCAGAGGTAACCTGATTTTGGAAGAGAAGCAAGGGCTAAAGGAGTTGCTCAGGCTCTCACCAGAGATCTTCAGCAGGACTGGGTGGGTACACGTGGCCATGGAGAGGGGCAGTATGCCAGGCTCTGTCCTCCCAGCAGGAGGAGATGGGACCATGAAATCATGCCCACATGTAGTTGCACCCGTCAGATGTGTGACATACAGCTGCATTTGGTGGGTACATAGTATAAAAACATTATCAGGTGGCCTCTTGTCTCTGGGAGGCATCCTTTCAACACTTAGGCTTTAAAACTTGGCCATTAAGACACTGCTGTTTTGGTACAACAGGCAGCCTCAGCATGGGGACAGATGGTGCTTTTCTTCAGTAGGGCCCTTGTAGTCCATATGAAGCCAGAGCCACAGGTGGCTGTGGTTTGAAAGCATCTTTTCCCCCCACCCCTCCCTCTGTGACTTTGCCATAACAACTGGAATTTGTTAGATGAAGATGTCTGTCACGGTACAGGATGCGGGCTGGCAAGGGGCTTCTCTCATGTGCTCAAGGCACTTGAAGGGCATGATTAATGGAAGAGAAGATGCTTACTCAGGGGCCAAAGGAAGCACATCTTTCTTCAAGATGATGCTTTGCTTGAGAAACATGCTTTTAGTCAATTCTGCAGCTATAGAAACCAACAAGGAGGCTTTCAATTTGAGCTTTTTTATTACAGAAGCTCACATTGCCTTTACATTTCTATATTTTGGAAAGAAAACTATGCACAATACTAGACTTCATCCACATGATCTTTTATCTGAAAAAAAGTAGTGTACAGATATCTTATCCCAGACACTTGTGCATGAAAGGGAGAAAAGTGCAGAAAGACTGCAATAACCTTTAGAGTGGTTTTATTTGTTCTTATGCTACAGATGATGCAATGATGTAATTGCTACCATAGCTTTTTACTGTGTTTAAACAGCTGTCATGTTTATTAGAAGGCCACACCCAAAAAGTAGCATCTTAACAGATCGGCTGCATTTTAACTATGTACAAAGTTCTGCTTAAAAGACTATGTTAAAGAGCATAGTGTAATGATTTAAGCATACAGCTACAAGTTTTATACCAGTAATGTTAACAGCACAAAACCCCCACAGCTTGTCTAAATGTTATAATACACTTGAAGCTTGAGTTGTGCTTGTCTTAACTCCTCTAAAATCAATATAAAATGGAGCAACTTGGAGCTTTACAGTTTTCTTTTGCATCTGCTGTGAACCTTCCCATATCTTTTAGTCATTTTGTTTTGCCTTATTCCCCTCCAATATGTTTCTTTTAAACTTAGAATTCTGTGAACATTAATTTTTATTCTACATGCCAGGTGCCTCAATATGATATGGAGTAAAGATGAGAAATCTCAGTGCTGTAAACAGGCATATTGCTATGTATTCTTAAACTCCAAAATTTGCATCTGTCTTCAGGGGGGCTTTGGGGGTTGGGATTTTTTTTTTTTTTTTAAATTTAGCATGTGGGCTAATTATCAAACTGATGTTTCTCAGCCGAGTCTGTTCTTGTCAGTAATTTAAAACACCTGGTAGAAAAATTGACCTAAGAGTTTAACAAAAGCCAAGTGAGGTATAAGGTATATGACAAATACGCTAAAAGACAAGGTAAGCATTCTGCAGATAAATTAGTCTTGTAAATTCCAGCTTCACATGGCTTGAGTTTTTAAAATGTTGGAAAATCCACTGCTGAAAGAGGAAGCTATTAGCTAAATTATTCTGGGGCTCAATTTCACACATTAAGCTGCACATTTTCATAAAAATATATTAAAAAAAAATAACCCAGACCAGAAATAATTATTTTTAAAACTTAGGTATTTGTACACCATGCTTTGCAAGTAAGATTTGTTTAACAG